ATTACTGTTTTTGATATTTATTAATGACCTCTGTGACTCAGTTGAATGTGAACGCCGATGCTTTGCTAACGACCTAAACATTTATTCGCAGATAAATACTCCTGATGATTGTATCAAGCTACAACACCAATTAAATTTTGTGCTATCTTGGTGTGTAGAAAACAAGTTGGAGCTTAATGTGAGAAAGTGTGAAATAGTCAGCTATACCAGGAAAATTGATGTTTGCGAATATCCGTACTATATTGATGGGTCTGTGCTAGAAAGATGCTCTGATGTACCTGATTTAGATATAATCTATGATCTAAAGTTAACTTTTAGTCAGCATATAAATAAAAAAACATCAGAAGCATTGGCGGCTTATGGTTTCATAGTAAGGAATTGCAGGAATTTTCATAACATAAGGTCTATTAAGCTATTACATTATGCTTATGTTAGATCCAAAGTCGAATATTGTAGTATTATTTGGAGCCCTTACTATGAATGCTATAGCACAGCTATTGAAAGAGTACAACGGAAGTTTATGAAGTTTGTTCTGTTTAGGATTGATGGAAAATATCCAGAGAGAGGTACAAGTAATGAGGAACTATGTAGTCGCTTAGACATGTTGACTTCGAAAAAACGTAGGTACTGTGCCTCAATAATATTTGGCTACAAAATGATCAGCAATTTAATTGATTGCCCCATGATCAAGTTTCGTACTCCAACGTTTGCATCTCGCAATCATAAAATATTCGGGGTTCCTACAGCTAGGACAAACATTCTTCTCAAGTCACCGTTATATGTAATGTGCTCTAACTTAAACAGAATTGGATGTTACTGTGATATATTTACGACAAATTTTAATTACCTGCTAAAGGTAGCTAAGGCTTATTCGGACCAATAGCTCATGTTACAAAATTATACCTGTGTTGCGTTTGTTGTTTTCTTTTCGCTTTCTTTCGATTTTTTTTGCTTTTGTATTATGCTTATGAATTGTCCTATAAATGGGAAACTGTTGGACAATAAAGCTATTATGATTATTATTATTATTATTATTATTATTATTATTATTATTGTTATTATGACCGCCTGCAGCAATTTTTTTTCTGGAAGGAAAGAAAATAAATCGTTTCAAAATCCATTTTTTACGAGAGAATATCAACAAATTTAGTACAGTAAATCAGTAGACATGAACCGAGAAAAGCATTGTTCATATCGTAATGTCCAAAGGGTATTTATTTCTTGGTCGATAAATAAAGAGATACATCATACGAAAATACTTTACCGACACAAAATTAATGAAGAAGATTTTGTGAAACTTATTCTGAGGCTTACATTGATGAGACTCCATGCTCTTCTGGTCTAATGAAACCACATATGTACTGGAAACTTCTTCCTGGTGTGGTGGCCAAAGCTTGAGTGAAAATTGTTCAATATTTATGTGATTTCATATGGCCAAAAGATTATGGAGTCTTAGAAATATCCATCATTACTTTTTTTTATTGGGCGTAACATGCTCCACTATTAACGAACTGTTTTTGAGTGCAGCATTCATTCAAACAAAGAACAATGTATAGGAAAAAGGATTTCCATTGTGACTGGGTACTTCTTGCGTGGGTGGAAAAGAATCTCAATTTATTCATGCAAAGCATAGACACCGAAACTTGATAGCCTATCTGATCTGAAATTAAGATACCCTGCATGCCTCTTCTTCTCAACTCACCACCATCCTTTCTTTTGTAAGTGTCACCCCTACATGAATTATGTAAATTTGCTTAAACCCTTGCAAGCTAAATTTACATTAACTTGCCGGCAAAAAAAGCTGATGCTGGCGAAATTCTTTTTCAGAGCCAGTGGGTTGCTGTACAAGTGTAGCTAAATACATTTTCTCGTTTCTGAATGCTTTAAAGTAAACTTTAGTTATGTTGATATATCAGGAGGGAAGCTCCGATTACTGAATGGAAAAAAACTAGCTTACGATACGTGGAACCCCGCTTGTACAAGAAGAATGTCTGTTACATGTATACTATTGCTACATCAGACACCTATACCTTTGTCAGTTAATCAATTTACGTGAGTTTTGTGGGTTCTCCCGAGTTCACGTCACATGAATATACGGGGTGTTTCAAATTTGACCCTCACCATTGGGATCTCGAAAACTGTAAGAGATACGCAGTTGCTTAAATGGGGCAAAGTGGCATATGTAAATAATCAACAAAATGCCGTTCGGAAGGTTTCGAAAATCAAAGTACTTCCCACATTTTCCCAAAATAGCTTAAATTTTTTCCTGGATTTATTTATAGTGAAATTTCAAAAAAAAATGCATACCCATGGCCACTTTCTCTCCTGTACAAGGTGGCTTAATTAATATTTCAACTCTGATTCCAAAGATGTATAATACGTTATACATTGACACTGCCAAACTTCCAAAAAAGAAGAGTTTCCTAGGTAGGCCTTGAAATCATCAGATAGCCATTTGTTTCCCATACAAGATTTATCCCGAAAGCACTTTTATTTTTTCCGGACTTTATTTGAGGTGGGGTTCCAAAATAAATTGCATGTCAACATTTTCTCCTCTACAATATGGCATAATTAGAATTTCGTTAGGACGTTTCGTCTCTCCAGCATCAACAATATTTTTTGTCGTGGACGCCATATCGGACTTTTGCGCAAATGAATAGAGTTTTTAATTCTGACTTCAAACACATATTGACATTACCAAACTCTAGTTATTCCAGAAGGTAAGTGTGCCTTGATATTATCGTTTCATTTATTCCGTATAGCCTCAAATTGAACGAGGCAACAGAGTTTGGAAGACTGAGAAGAAGAAAAGTAAATCAAGCAGTGAACAATCTAAAGGAAGGAGTCAGGCTTTGCTTACAAAATAACGGACACCATTATGAACATCTGCTACCCTGCTAGCCTCTGCTTATTTATAATAATAATCATAGTATATTTATTGCCCAACCGATACATCCATTTAAAGGGAATGGAAGAAAAAAAAATGAATAGCTACTCACCTACATGTCTTAAATGCTATACATTGAATAAGGTAGTCGCTGAATACAGCCAATATATCTTTGTCTTTATCATGATGAATGTCACAATTATCAGCTACGGTGTTAAAGCTGGAGCACATAAAGTACACGGGTGACTTAATCATAACATTAGACTTTGGTGTTTTTAAGTAAAAAGCGAGAAATCTTCGGGAAATGCGGGACAGTACAGGAAAATAAATTTTAGCTAATGAAGCTGAAGAATCAACATCACTCTGTACGAGTTTGTAAAGGAATTTTAAACGATTACAAACTCTTCTCAGCTCAAGAGGATACATTTCAAATCTGAGCAACATCGCTGATTGGGGAGTCCCACGATTGGGATAAACACCATCTAGTTTGAAAGTCAAGTATTTCAGAAATCTCCTCTGTACACTTTCAATTTCATTAGTATAGATTTGGTAATATGGATGCCATACACTAGATGCATATTCCAGCTTAGAACGCACCAAGGTGCAGTATAAAGCCTTCAGTGCCGTTTCACTACCACAGTTTCTTATAAAAAAAACGAGGCTTTTTATAGCGGATGATACTATTGTACTAATATGACCTGTAAATTCTAATTTAACATCAAACAACACACCTAGTTCTCTTACTCCTGAACAACCCATCACTGACACCTTCCAGTGTGTGATCAAAAACTATTGGATTCGTTTTAATGGTAAAAGAACAGGTTTTGCAATTGCTAACAGTCAAAAATAATTTATTAGTTGAACACCATTCAAATATATGATTCAGGTCTGCTTGCAAGATTAGACAATCACCAATGCTGTTAATCTGAGCATATATATTTAAATCATCGGCAAACAACAGAGAATGACAGGTTAAGCAGTTAGAGAGGTCATTGATAAAATAAAGAAAGAGACGAGGCCCTAAATTTGATACCAGCGTTAAACCGGTTGAGGCCGAGTAAGGTGCAGATTTGAAACCATTGTAAGAAACGTACTGATTTCTATCATGCAAGTAAGAAGAAATGAAATCTAATAAATGATTGCTAAAACCAAAATGCTCAAGTTTACCTATGATTCTTTGGTGACTAATCTTATCGAAGGCCTTTGAGAAATCCATATAGACCACATCCATCTGACCCCTATTATCTAAGACCTCTGCAATTTCCTGGGTGATTTCAGTTAAGTTAGAAATAGTAGAGCGATTGCGCATAAATCCATGTTGCGTCTCAGATATCAGATGCGAGGTCAAAGGATAGATGTAGATGTATACAGATATCTCAAATACTTTACCAAAATCATCCAATATAGATAAGGTTAGGTAATTTTCGATTTTACTAGGGTACCCAGCTTTAAAAATAAGGCACACCCTAGCCAGTTTCCATTTTGTAGGAAAAAGTTGCTCTACCGAGGGAATAATTAAAAATGTTCTTTAATGACGTGACAAACATGTGCATCACGGACTACAAAGCTCGGTACCATATCTTCTCCTGCTGTTAACTTGTTTGGAAATTTACACAGCGCTTGTAGAATATCCTCGTCTGTGAAGTTACCCAGATAAAAACAGTCATGCTGAGTATTAACAATGGGATGTAGGTATAAATCATTTTCTATAACTTAAACACTTTGGAAATACTCTGCGGATGAACTAATTGTTCGATTAGGATTATCTGAGACTTCATTAGCAAGGGTCATCCTACCTGATATTCTAGATGAGCCTTTCTTAGACTGGATGAAAGACCAAAAATGATTCGGATTTGTAACCAAATAATTTTCAACTTTTTGCAGATATAGATTGTAACAGTCTTTTATCTGTTGTTTAACAAGTGCACGGACCCTAGAAAATTCTCCATAGATTTCCTGACTTTTGGAACATTTATATTGTCGATGCAGTCTACGTTTCAGTTTGAAATTTCGAATAATATCCGAGCTATACAAACCTGGATAACGATGCTTATGCTTAATATATTTCGGAACGTACAGGTCAAAAACGAAGTATAATTTGTCATAAAACAAGTCACACATTCTCCACGTTGTCCAAAAAAGACCAATCAATGTAAGTCAAGGCATTGTAAAGGCCAATGAAATCAGCTTTCCTGAAGTTGTACGTTGGAGTTGCTACATTCGTGTCAAAATTAAGAGTGGCATTGAATTTAGTTTCACAAACTACAAATAGAGAAGGATGATGGAAATCTTCCTTGACTAACGGCAAATTATCATGATAAGTTTCGCAGGTCATATCAGTTATCACCAACATCATTTGTCTAGCATTCATAAATAGTATTGGTTTGAGAAAGACCTGAAAATTCCAAAAATCTCTTTAGTGCAGTCGAATGTCTATCAACAGTTGTATTATCAACAAAATTGGTTACATTGAAATCTCCTTTAATTAGGACATTTAATTTACTTATTGTAGTTTGTGAAAATAATTCCAAGAATGTTTCAAACTCTACAAATGTTACTTGTGGTGGTACATACAGGACATATATAAATACCGAATTAAATCCTATATATAGTACACTTGACACCTAGAATATCGATCAAGCAAATTTATTATCATTACCGTTAATAAAATTTGCATTTTTGTTCAGGCTTCACCATGCCTCTCTGTTTCCCTATAATGTTCATCCAACAATAAACTCATAACCGCAAATATGAAAAAACAAAACTGATGAGGAAAGTCGAAAGAAGAAATGTCGAATGTAAAAATTTTACTACGCTATCTGGTAGAGGATCATAAGTAACAATCTAAACATGCGATTTATTTTAAAATCCCATTTCAAATAATTTTGTCTTTATATCGAAGCAGCCGCGCAGGCAGAAGTCTAAATGCCGGAACACCGCGGCTGCTATGATGATCCCAACGAAATTTTGTTAATACGATTTTTGAACTGCCTAAGGTTAGTAGAACTGGGAAAAGCTTCGTCTTGTAGATCATTCCACAATCTCGACACCCTCGGGACAAGGGAGCGGTCATATCGGCCACTTCTGGATGTATGAAGTTCGACACGGTCAGGATGGGACGCCAAAGTCAGGCGGGTCTGCAGTGCAAAAGGGTCCAGAAACTGTCTGTTAGAGAAGAACCGTCGATCAGTCGGGCCGCCCTCCTCTGGACAGCATCGAGCATGGATAATGTAGTCGGGGCGGCAGCACCCTAAACGTGTGAGCAATACTCGAGGCAAGGCCTTATCTGGGCCTTGTATAGAGTGAGAAGGTCATGCGGAGAAAAGTACTTCTTAGCTCTAAACAAATAGCCTAGCTTTTTCCCAGCAGCTGCTGCTATTGACGAGATGTGTTCGTGCCAGATCAGGTCCTCGGTGATCTGGACTCCGACTAGCCGAAAGGAATGGCTCTTTGGCAGAACTTGGCCATCTATCGAAACCGGATGAGCGCTAGGACGCCAAAGTACAGTACTGTGTTTTGGAAGCATTGAACTGTACAACTGTACAAGATTGTTGCGTCCCCAAGCGGCTATAGCCTCCAGATCTCTTGTCAGAGAGGAAGTCATCGCTAGTCTTCTTTTTTCCAACTCAGCGGCAGAGATCGACTTGTCACTCTGAATTCGTGCATGTAGAGTGCTGTTATCAGCGAAGCTGTGGATTTGGTTGATTGTGCAGGAAAGGAGGTCGTTGATATGTAAGAGAAACAGTGTCGGAGCCAAGACCGATCCCTGGGAAACACCCGCGTTGACGTTGTGGGATCAATAGGAGAACCCGTCAATTACGACGGATATCTTGCGGCCTCAGACAAAGTCAGCCACCCATCTGCAAAGCTTTTCTGGAAGGCCATAGGATGGAAGTTTGCTTAAGAGGGTAGTGTGCCACAGCTGACCAAACGCATTCTTGATGTCAAGAGCAACGACATGAGCCTCACCAATAAGACTGGATGAGTTTAGTCCACAATTGCGTGACGTAGGCTAGCAGGTCTTATGTGGATCGTTGGTGCCGGAAGCCATACTGCCTGTCGCTAATCAAGCTGTGACTTTCGAGGTAGTCCAGAAGGTCGCGATTTATGCACCTCTCGACCTTACTTATAAAAGAAAGCACAGCTATAGGCCTGTAGTTGCAAGGGACGGTCTTAGATCCTTTTTTTGGGATGGGTTGGACATGAGCAAATTTCCGGTTTTCTGGGATGGTGCCGGATTCATAAGATATATGGAAGAGACGCGAAACAACTGGAGCAAGCTCCGGTGCTCACCTCTTCAGTACAATGGCAGGAATCAAGTTCGGACCAGAAGATTTGCTGATGTCGAGCGATAAAAACACTCGTCTTACGGTCTTATGCCCGCATAGTGTAGGGAACCCTTTGAATTGACGGCACTTGGACGTTAGGGGGAACGTCCTTGGTGGAGTTGGCAACAAAGATCTTGGCTAGCACTTCTGCCTTGGCCTTTGAGTCGAATACAATAGTTCCATCCTGACATGTAAGTGGTGGAAGGCTACTGTGAGAGAAGTACTTTTAAATCTGCTTGGCCAGCGTTCAGAAAGACCGGCTGCCATTGCGCTGCGACATTATCCTGTGCCTAACTTTTATATTGTGCCGGTTTTCGGCATTGCGAACCTCTTCGTTATATTTGCTTCTGGACTCGACGTCAGCTTGTCTGTTCTCTACAGTGGGGTTTTGTAAGAGCGTTCTGTGTGCCTTGATCTTCTTCTGGCGGGCAGTATCACACGATTTGTTAAACCAGCAGTTGGACCCTGGTTTAGGCACTTTCACTGTGTGAGGGATGTATTCCTCCATTCCGACGTGGATAATTTCGGTTATCAAGGAACATGCAGCCGACGCATCCGCGTCAGTGAAGCAAACATCTCTCCAAGGAAAGCTAGAGAAGAAGTCTCTGAGCCCTTCCCAGTCGGCAAGTCCGTAATGCCAAGTTTTGCGGCCTGTACGAGTTTCTGCTGCCACAGCGGGTTCTGACCGAAATCTAACCTCCACAACAGAGTGGTCCGAGTTAACCAGGGGGCACAGGACAGCAGTGCTGTAAGGGACAGGATGCGTGGTCAGAAAGGGATCCAGCAGGCTACTGGCGTGTGACGAGGCGCGGGGGAAAAAAGTATGGCTCGTCACCAGCTGGGTCAGCCCTTGAGTAAGACCGAACGTTTCGACCGCACGACTTGCTGCATTGGTCTTGTTTGAGCCCACCCAAAGCTCATTATGGGCATTGAGATCACCGAGAAGAACTAACTCTGAATCGGGGTGATTGATGTTCAGGAAGTCGATCTGGACAGCGAGGTATTCGAGTAGGTCATCCCAGTTATGGTCCGAGGGAGAGCGATAAAGGCATCAGATAAATTTGGGTGATGTGTTGGAGTTGAGGTGAAGCCACAGAATGTCCTTCCGGCCTGATTCCAAAGAAACATCTCTGGAGCAGGAAAGACTGCTGCGGACAAAAGCCACAACTCCACCGTTCTTTCTCAGATTGGAGTGCACCTCGCAGTTTGGGAAGTTAAGATGGTTAACAGGTGCAGACTCTAAGATTTTTATCTCCGTGAAGGAAAGCGCGGCGGGACGATTGGATTGCAGGTCGTGATGAACAGCATCAATGTTAGTGTTAATCTCGCAGATGTTAGAAAAACAAATTTTATCTTCGATGTTGTTCCCTCGAGCCCACCCTCCACCCGGACATTCCGAGAGTGGAGTAAGTTTACTTCCGAAGTTCTTAGTGCTCGAGGGATCCATCATCATTAATTTCTTTGTTTTGGAAGACAACCGACTGCATAGCTTAGGCGTGGAAACATGCGGACATTTATAAGATACCCTGGGAAAAGCTAGCGGGTGTTACCGCCTCGGTCGACTGGTCCTTGTCTACCAGCCACTTTTTACGTGTTAGTGATATTAAATAGACCTAAAGCGGCCCGCTGGCGGACTTGTATCGGGAATCGGTACTGAGGTATTCCTTAACGCATGTACAATCATTTGAACGGGAAGAAGTTGTATACTGGATACAACAACTTCCGGAACAAGTATTTGCCACGGCCCCGCTCAGTAGGGCCCGATAATTTCAAGAAAAAATAATAGTGGTTTTGCGATACATCTGGTATTCCAAACAAATAGCTATCTAATAATTTCGTGGCCTACCTAGGAAATTCTGCTTTCTGGAAACAACTAAAGTCTGGCAATGTCAATGTACGACGTATTATACATTTTGGAATCCGAATTAAGAACTCTACTCATCTGTGTAAAAATCCAATATGCCGTTGATGCTATATGACATGAGACTAAACGTCATTTTCTAATTCTAATTATGCCATATTGTAGAGGAAAAAAAGTGGCAATCTGAATGAGCAATTTATTTTAAAATCCCACTACAAATAAAGTCTGGAAAAGATTAAAACGATTATGGAAAAATTCAACTTTTTCCGAAAGTACCATGGATTTAGAAACTTTCTAAGCGGCATTTTGTTAATTACCTAAATACACAACTTTGCCCCTATTTGAGTTATTTCAAATCTATTACAGTTTCCGAGATCCCAATGGTGAGTGTCGAATTTGAAACACCCTGTATACGGAAGCACATTATGGTAACGTTATATTGTGGTACGTGCAGTGTACTGGTGACATCCCGTCATCCAAATTTTTTGAGTACATTAAACTACACTCCGAACCTAAAAACTTTGAGCGCGTCTCCCAGGCCAGAGCGTTCGACCAAGAACTCTGAAGCTTTACAGTCTCATGCGTTATCATGTTGTTTCCAGAAGACAAGACATGGTACTTCAAAAATTCCACCGTGGTGACCAAAACGTCGCACAGGAAACCGTAATTAGAACATATGTTGTTTAATTTAGCGGCAAGACAATAGAGTTCTTATTTGCTAAGTTGGGGTTTTCCTTTTGAGATACAACTACGCTTGATATAACAAAGCTAATGTGTAGTGAAACGTGAGCGAACAAGTAGACAAAATAAGTGAAAACGTACTCACTGTTCAGTTGAGTTGAAATTCCAAGTATGGCTCTGTCGTAAAATCAGTATTTACATCATAGTCGTACGTCGTATAACTGTACGCTGGCGCTGACGCTGTGGACGTGACCGAGGGATAGGTCAGGACCGGCTTTGGTTTGGTTCAGGTTTGCAGAGCCCAATATCTCTGTTCTATTAAGACATTGGTATATATGCTACTAAGAAAATCCGCTATTTTTTTCAAAATCTACACGTCTAAAGGAAAACCCCAACTTTGCAGACACCCTGTAGATTATTTATAATGTCACACTGTGAGCTTTTTGTCTTCAGTATTTATCTTCTTGTTTTTCTTTAATATTTCCAATTTACCATCAGATATTTTTTAACACTTAAGATCTTCTC